CGGCCGAGTGGCACGATGGTTAAGAACTGGCTTGGGACGCCAGAGGGCCCCGGTTCGGATCCCACATGTGAGGGTCAGTGACACTGCCCTCCACAGCTAAGATGCTGAACAACAGCTCAACCTGGAGCTGGGCTGCCATGAGTCGCTGGCGACAGCGTAGGCTGCAGCCCCTGTGGCAGTGGGTTGCCGTGGGTTACCGTGTGTAGCCAGCAGTCAGCGTGAGCGGCCAGGAGCCAGCGTGAGCGGCCGTCCAGAAGCCGGCGACTGATCTGCCTCGCCTGGGAAGAGCGCAATGATGGTGCCAAGTTGGGCCAGTGAAGCAAAGTCCTCTACAACTAGACTGAAGAACAAAAGGACAGCAACTTCTGTTCCCCTTCTCCCAATTCTGCAGCGCTGTTCCCATACCCCCCAATTCCCCAATAAAAATCTTTAAAAAAATATTAATAAAATAAGATTGACTAGGTATTTCTTCACCAAAAAGGATTTATTCAGGAAAAAGAAAAAGAAAAGGGTTGCAACCCAGCACATACAGACATGGCAAGCCACATGCACATTCTGGCCAGCATGCCAAGATGGAGGGCTATTTAAGGAAGGGAAAAAGGACATTGGAACCATAGAGTTCTATTTTAAAGAAAGTTAGAACTATAGAGTTCTATTATAAGGGAAGTCAGGACCATGGAGCTCTTCCTATAGGGTTCTTGTGTGAACTTCCCATAAGCCTTAGCTCCTCCCATAGGCCCCACCCCCTACACCTGATCATGTTTCCTTCAAGTTCATCTTTATCACTATGAGCCTCCTGAAATGGCATGCAAGATTTTGTGTATATATGTGTCTTCTTCCTGCTCAGGGACGGTAGCTTTTTCAGATCATGACTAAAGAATACAATGACGGCTGAGTTACAAAATCAAGCCCCTGTCTGCTTCTCTCCCTTGACCTTCTGGCGGTCCCTGAGCCCCATACCTCTTGAAGCCATCCATGCTCCATGTGCACTGACTCCTCAGTTCCTGGAAAACTCCATCCATGGAGTTCCCACCCTCCCTTGCCGGCAACCTTCAGGCTGCACTTCCTCTGGGAAGCCTCCTCGGCTTGACCCAGGCAGAAGTGATCAGCCCCTCGCTGGTGCCCCAGCTCCATTTGGCACACACCATCTGTAGGGCAGCCTCCTGTACCCTTGGGTGTGCCTAAGAACTACTGTGCACCTTTAATAAGCTGCAGACGCTCCAGTTCTGCCTCCTCCCCAGTGAATCAAAACTGTGAGGGAGGGAGGCCCCTAGGAAATTCCGAGGCACACCCTGCATGGAGTCATAATCATAGGGCCTTTCTTTGTGTTCATATTACTTGGGAGACCAGACTATGAGCACCTCAAGGGCAGGGATCTTGGCTCAGTAAACTCTCTAATCTCACGGCATTCAGAACAGTATCAATGCATGACAGCATAACTATAACGTTAGTTATAGAAGGCAGGCCATTGTGTCCATTCACAATTACCCTTAAGCTGAACGAGACCCTCTAGAGCACCGGTTCTCAACCTGTGGGTCGCGACCCCTTCGGGGGTCGAACGACCCTTTCACAGGGGTCGCCTAAGACCATCGGAAAACAAAAAGATATTTACATTACGATTCATAACAGTAGCAAAATGACAGTTATAGAGTAGCCACGAAAATAATTTTATGGTTGGGGGTCACCACCACATGAGGAACTGCATTAAGGGGTCGCGGCATTAGGAAGGTTGAGAACCACTGCTCTAGAGACCAGCATCCTGCCCCGTACTCAGAGCTAGTGGTGGGGCCACTCCCGGTCAGATGTTTGTTGGAGGGGCAGGTAGAAGTCAGAAAACAACACAAGACAGGTTGGCAAGCAGGATCCCAGTCACACTACAACCATGACACTTGGTGACACCCACCCTTGCTCTCTTCCCATTTTTTAAGGCCCAATTCCTCAAGGGCCACCTCCTCCAGAGGCCTTCCCAGAAACTGCACACCTGTCTCCTGAGGTTCCTATAACTCTCAGGCATCAGGTATCCTCATCCAGTTCACCCCCAGGGCTTTCCCTCACATTCACACTTCTCTCTTCCTGGTAGGCTAGCCCTGTTTCCCCCAGGAGCTGTGAGCCTCAGATGTCCAAACCTCCCTAAAGGAACTGGTACCCCCCCCCCGGGGCTCAAGAGACTCATCTATAAAAAGGCCCATTTACAGATGAGCCTTAAAAAATAGCCCTCCGCCCAGTGAAGCAACCTCCAGCTGCCTGAATGAACTGTGTGCCCTCACATGTTTAATGTAGATTTTAGAGTTGCCTCAGCACTGTTTTCTAGAGAATGATATCAGAAGAGCTTGCAGGGTCCTAAAAGCTAGACTTCAACTTCCTAGGTTCAAATCCCAGCTCTGCCAAATTCATAGGCTATTTCCTTAACCTCACTTCCTCAGTTTCCTCATCCATAAAATGGGGATAATAAGAGCACCTACCTTGTAATGCTGGTGTGAGGAGTGGGTGAGGTAATGTGTGGAAAGTGCTACAAACAGAATCTGCCTCACAAGCGGGAGCTTATAATGCAATCCTCTCATTAATTCAATTGATGTGAATCTCACATGATCTCATGTGATTCTTCCAACACTGGAAAGCTATCTCCTCTTCACAGATGAGACCAGGCTCAGAGAAGTTAAGTGACTGGCCTCAGGCAACACAGCTAATAAGTGAGCACACCGTTTCTCAAAGCCGACTCTGAGCCCCACAAACGTGGCATATGTAATCCCCGAACTCTGGCACCCCTCCTGTCCTTCTGACCCCCTCCTTCGGCATTCCTGTGGTTTTCATACACATTCTTGAAGCCTCCAATAACAGTCGCGTTCCCACCCCAAAACCACCATGAGCCACACTCCTGCCTTTTTGGTCTCAGGCAGGGAGCCCTGCAGGAACCACGCTTGTGGCAGTGCTGGTGGGCGCTGTGGGCGGGTGGGAGTCGTGGACCTCATTTGGCCCACACAGGATCCTACAAACATCTCCTGGCATTAACCTGCTAGGTTTGGCTGACCCAGCTGCCCAGAGCCCAGTACTGGGGAGCCTTGTCAGACAGGCATGCCCCAGTCCCCCAGACTCTGCCACTGAAACAGCCTGGTAGACCAGATGTGCCAGCAAGGGGACTGGACAGGGGCCCTTGGATGGGCTGAGGAGCTTTCTCTGTGTGGGAGCTAGATGTCATCTGAGAGGCAGAATGCGTCTGCACAGAGTATTTGGGTGGGATCCTCAGACAGGGCCAGCCCAGACAGAAATGCACTACAGCCCCTTATGAGGTGTTTATGTAAATGACTGTGATGTGAACGCTGACCCCTTCAGGGTGTTCTGGGCTTTGCCACTCACACAGTCCCTTCACAGGTGTTTCCTTAGGTCACATAACCTTCCTCCAAGATAGTTTTGTTATCTCCACTTATAGATGAGGAACTGAAACTCAGGCTTCTGCCTCCAATTCAGAGGTCTTGCTGCTAACGTCACCACTGGACAGAGACAGAGCTAAGCCAGGTCTTAGACATTTGAGCGAGAGAGGCTGTTGGGATCCTGGTGGGGACTGGGACGCAGACACTACTTAGTGCTGCCAATTGGTGTCAGGTGGGAATGCAGCCACAGGATTGCAAGATCTCTGGATTTTTCCAGAGAAGCTGAAAATCTGGATTTTCAAAATGTGAAATTTCTCTCTTTTTTTTTTTTTAATGTTGGCAACTAATTTAGTGTAGTTTAAAATGTCTAGCGGGCTAAACAAAACACATTCTTGGGCTGGACTCAACTCCAGGCCACCAGTTTGCAGACTTGGGCTCACATATTGCCTCCAAGATGCCATGTGGGATAAGCCCTCACCCTCCACAATAGAATAAAAGCATTCAGTTGCCCCTGGGGTGTGTCACACGGGAATACGCCAACACAAAGGAGCAAGGGAGGAATTATTTATTGAGTGCTTATATGTCAGACTTAGTTTTGGGGGTAAGTGATATAATTTGACAAAACTAGACAAAACCTCACTCTCATGAAAAGAAACTTGTAAAATTTTTAGTGTCTTCATAGTAATTAGTAAGGAGAAAAAGCAAGCAGAAATTTCAGTTTCAGATAGGGTGATCCGAGAGCCTCACTGGGCAGGTGACATATGACAAAGACCCAGAAGAAAGGAAGGAAGAAGTCCTGCTGGTATCTACAGGATGAACATCCTGAAAGAGGGATTAACAAGTACACAGGCACTGAGGCCCAGGGAGAGGAAGGAGTGGCTGGGAAGCAGGAAGGAAGGATATGGCTAGAGGAGTGGCTGAAAGTGGTGCGGAGCGGTATCAGTGGCCAGAGAGGCAGGAAGAGTCCGAAAGGGGAAGCCAACGCACATCGGGCCTCTGGTTTTCTTCTGAATCAGATTGGAAGCCATTGGCGTGAAGGCTCATTCGTGCTACTATGTTGAGAATAGACTGGAGAGAAGCAAGGGAGGCCGCAGAAAGACCCTTGAAGAAGCGATTGCAATAAAGTAGGTGAGGAAACGATGGTGGTGGGAGCAGGGCGGTGGCTGTGAAGGTGGTGAGAAGTGACCAGATCCTGGGCATATTTGGTAAGTAAACCCAGTGGTGTGCTAGCAAAGGTTTAACAGCCGGCTCTTGGGGTGGGGTCACTGATTCCCACAGTGTAAATGTTCCTAACGTGGCTCATTTCAAGCTACCAACAGGAAGTCAACTGGCTCACAAAATTCCTAAAAATCTTACAGTTGGCTCTTGCAAGCCAATACAGGCCACCTTCAGCACAGCACTGGGCAGAACTAATAGGACTTGCTAATGAATTGGATGTGAGAGGTCGGAGAAAGAGAGCAAAGAGAACTCTGAGATGTGGGCAGCTGATAAAGTGGTGTTGCCATTGATTTAGATACGGAAGAATATGACGAAGTTTGGGGGAAATATCAGAGATCTCAGTTTGGACATTATAGGTTTGAGAAACCCATTATATCTTTTATTTTCAAACCTCACAAGACATTATTATTACTGTTTCATATAGTCCATGTTTGGTGTTTTTTTTTCAACCCATACAGTTGCCACTTTATTTGTTGTTCATTCTTGCCCACCTCTCAGACTTCCATCTGGGATCATCTCCCTTCTGCCTAAAGAGCAGAATGTCCTTTAGAGAGAATCAGCTGGTTTCAACTCCCTGTTTTGTTTGTTTTTTACTTTATTTTTTTATCACCTTAAAGCAACTGTATTTCACCTTCACCTTAAAAAAAAAAAAGATTTTATTGGGGAATTGGGGAAGGGGAACATTGTATTTTTCCAGGACCCATCAGCTCCAAGTCAAGTAGTTGTCCTTCAATTTTAGTTATGGAGGGCACAAGCTCTGCTCCAAGTCCAGTCGCTGCTTTCAATCTAGTTTGTGGGGGCAAAGGGGGGAGCACAGCCCACCATCCCATGTGGGAGTTGAACCAGCAACCTTGTTGTTAGGAGCACCTGCTCTCACCAGCTGAGTCATCTGGCCTCCTATTGGCAGCTCAGCAGCAGCTCAGCTCAGGTGCAGCTCACTGGCCCATCCATGTGGGAATCGAACAGGTGACGCTGTTGCTCAGAGCTCACGCTCTAACCAACTGCGCCACCTGTCCGGCCCCTCACCGTCACTCTTAATGTGTATTTTCACTGAGAAAAGAATTTTAGGAGGCCAATTATTTTCTTTCAGCATATTGAAAAAAATTTAATGATAATGTGTTCTAAATATTTTTCTTTGTGTTTTGGTTTACTAAAGGTTTACAATGATGTGTCTGGCTGTGGATATCTGTTTATCCTGCTTGAGATTAGTTTGTCTTCTTGTATTTGTGATCTGTTGTTTTTCATCAGTTCAGGACCATTATCAGTTATAATTGGTTTACATATCAAGGCTGCCACAATTATCCCTCCTGTGTTTCTGGGACTCCAATTAAACATACGTTGGTTCTTCTCACACTGTCCTCTGTAGCTCTTAACTTTAATAGTTTTCATCTTTTTGTTTCTCTGTGATAAGTTTTGAATTATTTTTTCCATCTTCTGATTTGTTAATTCTCTCCAGGTGTATCTTTTTTTTTTTTAAGATTTTATTGGGGAATTGGGGGAGGGGAACAGCGTTGGGGAATCCGGGAAGGGGAACAGACAAGCTGCTGTCCTTTTGTTCTTCAGTCTAGTTGTGGAGGACATCGCTTTATTGGCCAATGTTGGTGTTGTGATCATTGCGCTCTTCCCAGGTGAGGCAGATCGGTCGCCAGCCTCTGGACGGCTGCTCACAGTGGCTCTTGGCAGCTCACATCGGCTGCTGGCCGCTCCCGCTGGCTGCCAGCCACTCACGGTAGCTTATGACAGTCCACTGCAGCAGGGTCTGCAGCCTACTCCGTCGCTGGCCACTCAAGGCAGCCCAACTCCAGTTCCAGCTGTTGTTCACCATCTTAGCTGTAGAGGGTGCAGCGTCACTGGCCCTCATGTGGGATCCAAACTGGGGCCCTGCTGCTCACAGCTGGCATCCCAAGCCAGCTCTTAACCAATGTGCCACTCGGCCGGCCCCAGATGTATCTTTTGAGCTTTCATTTTTATTAATTGAATTTATTATTTCTAGAAGTTTGATTTGATCTTTTTCCAAATGTAAATCAATTGTTATAGTTTTTTATCATCTGCAGGTATTTTCAAGCATGTCTTTTATTTTTCTAAACATAGTAATCATAATTGTTTTATAGTCTGCGTCCATTAAATACAAAATCTGAAGTTTTTACAATTTACTTTTTCTTGTCTACTATATCTGTTGTTTCTTAATCATGGTGCCTGTTTCCTAGTATACAGTAAGTCCTCATTTAATGTCATCAATGGGTTCTTGGACACTGCAACTTTAAGTGAAACAACATATTAACAAAACCAATTCCACTATAGGCTAATTGTTATAAACAAGAGTTAAGTTCCTACAACATAGTTCTGGTCACAAAAACACCATCAAACTTTTAAATAAAGACTGAACACACTTTCAATATTAAACATTGAAATAAACATGAGCAATGCATACACTTAAGAAAGATGAATAAAAACAAGTAAGATCATTATTTTTCAACCTGCTTATTCCAGTTCAGGGTCATGGGTGACCGGAGCCTCTCCCGACAGCTCAGGGTGAAAGGTGGTACCCCACCCTGAAGGGGATGCCCTTCCATCACAGGGTGCACTCACACACACCCGCACTCATTCAGACAGGGACAATCTAGACCCACAATTCACCTAAAGTGCGCATCTTTGTGATGTGGGAGAAAACCGGAGTCCCTGGAGAAAACCCACACAAACATGGGGAGACATGCAAACTCCACACAGTGGCCTAGCCGGGAATCAAATTTTTTTTTTTCTCAACAACGTTATAATGAAATGACATTGAACAAAACGACATTATTTGAGGACCTGCTGTATTTGGTTATTTTTTGTTGGCTGCTGATCATATTTGAAAAATAATTTGGTGAAATATTTTAAGTGTAGAGGATGAGGATGCCTTCCTCCAGAAATGTGTTTTTGTTTGTTTTGTTTTTTGCTTTTGCCATGCACTTGTGGGGAGTACTGATCGGGAACCACCTTAAATCAAATTCAAGTTATTGAGTTCCCTGAACCAGACAGTGATGAGAATTCTGTCAAATTGTTACCAAGCTGGTTTAATTTTTGTTCATCTTTCCCCTCAGGATGTGATCCTTTAGGATCCTTGCTTATAGAGGAGAGTAGTTACCAATCTTCAAGTCCCCAGCTTCTATTTGTATCCTCCTTGCAGTGAAGTTACCAAAACAAAAGTTCAAACTTACTGGGGTCAGCAAATACCCTCAGGGCAAACCTTCTCTGGGGTTTCTATATGTTCCCTTCAGTTTGGCCTTGTTGCTTTATTCTCTCTTACTAGTTCTCTTGTTAGCTCTTTTTTTAGGAAAACATAATTCATGTCCTATCTATCAGTTTTACTTGTTTCCAGTGGTAGGGTTGGTTCAAGTATCTTAGTTCACCATTGCTGGAGATTGGGACTCCCACTGAATGGTGACGGGGAAGGGGCAGAGGTGATATGACATGGAATTTTTCAGGGTGATGGAAATGTTTTACCTCTGATTGGGCTGGTGGTTATATGAGTATATACATTTGTGAAAGTTTATCAAACTATACACTTGAAATGGGTACATTTTCCTACAATATATGTAAATTATGACTCAAAAAAGTTGAATTAAAAAGTAAAAAATATATATCTCTTATTTCTAGTGAAGAATGGATGATACAGTGGCAGGAGGCCCCACACAGGACCCTTGAGAGAGGGAGTAAAAACTAAGTGCTGTTCATCACCCCAGCCATCTGTGAGTCTAGAGTCTGATTACTGGTGGGGGGTAAAAGTCCCTGTTTTATAATGCAGTGTTTATGAGCTTGTATAGTTGTTAAGATGGGTAAGCACATGGGATGGAGCTTTTGGGAAATGGGTCTGGAGGGACTGAGCAGCTAGAAATGGTGGAATAATTCCAGAGATACTTCTTAGAGATGGCAGCCTTGTCTTACAAGAAGATAAGGACCCAGAATGCCTTGTCCTTACTGCTCTATGGGCAGACCTCAATGGAAGAGAATGCAGATAGAGAGACATAGAAGTTAAGATGGTGGCAGGGCTCGGGAACATGGGTGGCATGGCCTAGAGAACAGAGTGGTCTCCCCGTGCTTCTGACAGTGCTTCTTCAGGTGCAGAGAGTGTATGTGAAGGCACAGGGGCAGGCGCTCTCCATGGGCAGGACGGGGGCCAATCCCCCACTCTTGTTGGATTCAGCTGGGGCCTGGGGACAGAGCTATGCTTCCAGGTCTCCCCTTCCTCACCAGCTTGGTTCCCCAGAATATCTTGTGGGATCTTGGTGGCTCATGACCATTGGGTGATAAAGAACTATAAGACACAGATCTTCTATGTGGCTTTTGACAAGTTATTTAGTCTGAGTCTCAGTTTTCTTATATATAAAGGGGGGATAAAAACTTAAATGAGGTAATACATTAAGGTTCTTAACATATCGCCTGGCACATAGTAGCAATTTAATGCATCGAATTATTATGATTATGATTATGATTATTATTTTTTTTTTAAGATTTTTATTAGGGAATTGGAAACAGTGCTGGGGAATTGGGGGAAGGGGAACAGACAAGCTGCTGTCGTTTTGTTCTTCAGTCTAGTTGTGGAGGATGTTGCTTCACTGGCCCAGTTTGGCACCATCATTGCGCTCCTCCCGGGTGAGGCACATCAGTCGCCAGCCTCTGGACGGCCGCTCACTGCGGCTGCTGGCCACTCATGCTGNGCTCCAGGTTGAGCTGTTGTTCAGCATCTTAGCTGTGGAGGGCAGTGTCACTGGCCTCATATGTGGGATCCGAACCGGGGCCCTCTGGCATCCCAAGGCAGCTCTTAACCATCGCACCACTCGGCCAGCCCCATTAAAAATGTTTAATGTTCAAATGCTTTGAGAGTGTGGGGCACAGTTGGGACAAGATGGGCCATGAGTTGGTAACTGTTGAAGCTGGGTGTTGGGTACATGGGGTTATTAACACTATTCCAAGTAAATGTGCATATGTTTTAAATTTCCCATAATTAAAAGCTTTCTTTTATTAATGTACAATCAAAAAACACATTGTAGGGGCCGGCCGAGTGGTGTGTTGGTTAAGAGTTGGCTTGGGACACCAGCTCTGAGCAGCAGGGCCCTGGTTCGGATTCCACATGAAGGCCAGTGACGCTGCGCTCTCTACAGCTAAGATGGTGAACAACAGCTCGACCTGGAACTGCGCTACTGTGAATCGCTGGCGATGGCGTAGGCTGCAGTGAGGCTGCAGTGAGCTGCCATCAGTTACCATGTGTGGCTGGCAGCCAGCGTGAGCGGCCGGCAGCCAGTGTGAGCTGCCAAGAGCCTCCATGAGTGGCCGTCCAGAGGCCGGCGACCGATCTGCCTCACCCAGGAAGAGCGCAATGATAATACCAACATGAGCCAGTGAAGTGACGTCCTCCACAACTAGACTGAAGAACAAAAGGACAGCAGCTTGTCTGTTCCCCTTCCCCCAATTCCCCAGCGCTGTTCCCCAGTTCCCCAATAAAATCTTTAAAAAACAAACAAACAAACAAAAAAACCACATTGGGTCCTCAAGTCATATTAGATCCATAGGCCACCAATAAACACTGTCTAGACATTCCAGAATAGCCCACAGCCCTCTCTGTCTGTCTTTGCAATTCTCTCTGCATGGCCTGGGATAGGGGAGCTAAGGGAAGGAGGAAGGGAAACATACTGACTTGGGAATGGATGGAGTCAGTTATCATCGTCCAAGCTGAAGAGCATGGACTCCAGGGATTTGGATGGGCCTCATAAAAATGGAGGGAGCAAGTCACACCCCCAGCACCATGTCTAACCCGTTCCACCCCACTCCCGGCCAATCCTCCTGCACCTCGCTTCATCTTGCTCATCTTTCTTACTATGCACCCCATCATGGGAAATAAGCAAATCTACGGTCGACGTCTTGAGTCTGCAGAAAGGAACATATCCCATCTGGATGAGTAGCCTGGCACATCCAGGGCTCCTGTGACTCTATAGAGAGGGCTGTACTGACTTCCAGCAACCTCACCAGCCAGTGTGGAAGTCTCACACTTTTGGGTGGAAGCCAAGTGGGGAAAGAAAGTATGGGTTATATTTTTCCTTCTCTGTTTCTTAGGCTGACTACGATTCACCATGCTCACTCTCCTGTCCCTAACATCTTCCCAGTTTATAAAGTACTCTTACATTTAAATCATTTCATCTTCCAACCCTGTGAGGTAGATAATCCTCCCATTTCATAGATAAAGATTTAACTGAGGCTCCTTGTGATTAAGTAACTTGCCCAAGATCACATAAATTATTGGTTTTTTATGTTCTGATTTGAATGTTCTTTCCTGTACCCCAGATTGGGAGGGGTGGCGGGAGTTTCCTGTCAGTGGGCTCTGCAGCTCTCCATGGACCCGATGACAGAAAAAGTATCATTGTGTTTTCTAAATAGTCAACTGGGGTGGTAGGAAGTTTAGCTGGGCTGCTCCTTAACTGCAAGTGTGTTGCCGTTTTTTAATTGAGGAGAATTGTCTGATGTAATGGTCTGATTTGAATGGGTCTTCTGGGGTGGTGTGAACATTTAGATTTCCCCATGTCTTTGTGAGATTGCCATACAGTCCCCAGGTCTCTCCTGAGTGTGATACAGGTGGAGAAGCTGAAAGAAGACACTGACATTGTCCACTGAGCTAAGGACAATAACTTTAGGTCTTATATCAAATCTTAATTCTGTTTTTCTTTGCTGTGTGACCCCAGGCCAGGCTTTTCCCTCTCTGGTTCTCAGAGCATCCTTCTAACAGCCAAACTAAGGCTATCTCCTGTGCCAGCTCACTGCACACCAAGACTCTACTCCCTTAGCAACCTCCAGAGAAGATGACTTAGGGTAGGATTATCACTGCTCAGAGGACACGTCCCACACTCTTCACTGGTTTAGAAATTTAACACCATGGGAGCAAAGGGAAAGCAAAGCAATTGTTAGAGGGAGGCTGGTGAGGACCCAGCCATCCAGCTCTGGCCCACACAGAGTTTACTTTCATGCCTTTTCTTCTGTTAATTTGGCTTGTTTTCCAAACATGGTTCAAACAATCACCCCCCCAGAAGCAGTGGCAGCAGAAGGAAATGTTATTAAAAATGAGTTCGTTAGTGGGCATGGTGTGTAGATGAAGTCTTTGGGACTTTTGGCTGCCAAATAAAGACTTTATTGTTGTCATTCCTCCTTTCCCAAGCTCCCTCCCTTTCTTCTCTCCTCCCTCTCTCCTTCCCCTCCCTCCCTACAGTCTGCCAGTCCCTCCCCCTAACCTAACCTCCCCACCCCAATAGAATCTGGTGGAAGAAAAGTCAGGCAAACACAAGCACGCTTGCACCACAGGGAGATCAGAACTTCTAGCTGGCTCACTGCTGCCACAGCTCCACCGAAGGGTGGGGGAGGAAAAGGAGGAACCTTGCGGGGATTAACCCAGAGCTGAGAGCAGAGGCAGGTGTGTGCAGGTAAGCCCAGTCGGGAGATGGGTAGGAAACCTCCTTCCTCCAGCCAGTGCCCTCCTGCTCTGTCCAACTTAGGTTATTGATCTAGTCTCTGCCTCCTTCCTTCCTTGCACTTTGTCTTCTTTCAAATGAGCTCACACTAGTCTTGCTCATTGCTTCTACACCCGATTCCTCTCCCTTCTCTTCGTCATCCTCTACCTGTGTATTAGCTGGCTACAGAAGTTAACCTTTCTTGGTACAGATGTTTGTTGTAGCACAGAGAGTTATGCTGTACATAGTATTTATACAGAACAGATGTTTCCATAGAAACCGTACCCAAGAATCCATTTCTCTGCACCTTGCACATATTGTCACTCACTGTCACAGATACACACACACACACACACACACACACACACACACACACACANCTCACGGCAGCCCAGCTCCAGGTTGAGCTGTTGTTCAGCATCTTAGCTGTAGAGGGCAGTGTCACTGGCCCTCACATGTGGGATCCGAACCGGGGCCCTCCGGCGCCCCAAGCCAGCCCTCAACCATTGCACCACTCGGCCGGCCCCTATGATTATTATTATTATTAAGACAAGACTAACACAAGGAAAACAGTTGAAAGACAGGATAGAATTGAGACTATTTTTAGGTGGTGTAGACCAGACCAGCCTTCAGGCTGGAAAGCAGAGGAGGAGTGAATTCATCATTCATGCATTACATAAATATGCATTAGGGCCCTACTATGTGTCCTTCCCTCCCCTTCACAGTACTATCCTCATTTGTGATATACTTAGATTTATTTATGTGTTTGTTTATTTTCATTTTTCCCCAGCTCTGTTGAAGTATGATTGACAAATAAAAACTGTTTATTTTAGATTGTACAATGTGACTTTTTTTGGGTTGTTTGTTTATTTTCTGTATCTCCCTATAGACTGAGGTCTCCAGGGACCATGTCTGCTTTGTTTGCAGCTGTGTCCTCAGAGCCTAGCATAGTGCCAGCCACATAGTAGGTGCTCCATAAACATTTGTCAAATGAATGCTAAGCCTGTGCAGGGTGCTAGGCTATACTGTAAGCCCTCGCAGAGCTTTTAGTCTAAAGGAGAAGATGGAGTAATTTAAATAATTCCCCTGAGGGCAGTTTCCAGATGTCTGTGAGAGCAGAAGGTATCAGGCAAGGAGCCTGAGGTGAGGAGAGAGGAACAAGGCCCTGGAGGGAGGTGACAGGGCTGGCACAGGGCAGCAGGGGCATGGGAAGATGGGCTTAGGGGTGGGGGGAAAGCAAGAGAAAGGGGCTCGCT